GAGAGCAATTTCACAGACTCCACCGAAAGAAACAAATCATTACGTAAAATAACCTCAATATTTACGAGTAATGGATACCCCAAACAATTGTAAGATCAGTAATACGACAAACAATGTATACCGGAACCACAACATGACAATCAGGAGGGGTGTACCTATCTCAAATTACCCTATATTGATGAGGTATTCAAGCGCTGTGCCCTAGCCACTATGCAAAAAACGGGCGCCCATAGGAATCTCAAAACCCATAACATTGACCCCACAGACTGTCCCATCAATTAGCTGGAAAATTCTCCACAAAAATATCAGATATAAACTACAGGCGGCCCAAGCTCTGAACGTCCTATATATTTTGAATATTTAACCGTTATAATATTTTAAAATAACAAAATAATTAAAAAAATATTAACAATATATGTAAAAAATATATCTCACTTGTTAATAGAATCCATTTGTTGTGTTTCTGAGTTTAGTTGATGCGATTGCTTTACGTTTTCGTCGTACTTGAACGGTCGTCAGTACTATGGCACTGGGCGACATGGCCATATAGGACATAAATAACTACAAGGCTAGCCACTTATCTGATATACTCTCCGACATCGAGTCCAATATCTCGCCTCAGAATCGTCGCAGAGCAATAAATTTCACATCATCACGTTCCTCTTTCGAAAGAACTTGGTTTCTTCACCATTGCGGCAATTCCCGCGACACACGACGAACTTTGTTTGTCAAAAGTACAAATTTCCATTTTCGACAGACGCGCTAACCCCATGATCGTCGCCACAAGAGCTGCTCAGCAACCTGGCCTCCTCGTTTGAAAACATTCCATCAGGGGGGGGAGGAGCTAGACTGGAATGAGGGGGCTTTCAAAGCAACACGATAAAACACACAATATAAATGTTTAATACTTGTTTATTGTCGAATACAGCATGATAAAGTAATAATTTCTATTTATATTGTGTGTTTTATCGTGTTGCTTTGAAAGCCCCCTCATTCCAGTCCAGCTCCTCCCCCTCTGATGGAATGTTTTCAAACGAGGAGGCCAGGTTGCTGAGCAGCTCTCGTGGCGACGATCATGGGGTTAGAGCGTCTGTCAAAAATGGAAATTTGGACTTTTGACAAACAAAGTTCGTCGTGTGTCGCGGGAATTGCCGCAATGGTGAAGAAACCAAGTTCTTTCGAAAGAGGAACGTGTTCGTGCTATTAGACGATGTGAAATTTATTTCTCTGCGACGATTCTGAGGCGAGATATCGGACTCAATGTCGGAGATTATATCAGATAAGTGGCTAGCCTTGTAGTTATTTATGTCCTAGTATGGCCATGTCGTTCAGTGCCAGTACTAACTACCGTTCAAGTACAACGAAAACGTAAAGCAATCGCATCAACTAAACTCAGAAACACAACAAATGGATTCTATTAACAAGTGAGATATATTTTTTACATATATTGTTAATATTTTTTTAATTATTTTTTATTTTAAAATATTATAACGGTTAAATATTCAAAATATATAGGACGTTCAGAGATTGGGCCACCTGTGATACAAACATGAATGAAAAATCTTCGAAGCCTTTGAAATTCGAAAACATACATACAAGATTATGAACGTTATGTGGGCAGTATTCTCAACATTTAGATTACTTAATTCTTACCTAATGATTTTTTAATAGTTTTTTAACTATGTCCATTTTAGGATGACCTATTATCCATAGCATGTTACACCACAGTTAATAGAAGGGGGATGGTTAGGCTAGCCGGCAAACTTCAAAGGCCTCAGAAATTTATGTCGGGAACCAATTTTTATTTTTGTCACGTGATCAATAAGCGGTATGCCAGGAGTGAAAAACAATATGGCGATATAGTGAAATTTGCTACAATCCAACTTGCCGTTCGAAAATATTTATCATTTCACGCAGTGAAGGCAAGAAAAACAAAGGCTATGGCGGGGATCGATCAAGAAGCTGTCATTGGCGACATTCAGGACTTTCCCGAGGATATCACCGAAGAAGATTTAGAAAATATAGGCGAGGAGTCAAACGAGGATTTCAATCTAAATGTATCGCTCGCGATCTTAGACACAGACACGGACGAACTCGACGCTGAGTTTCTCGAAGCCGTAACAGAAATTGAAGGCAAGAAGTCGTTTCCTTGCTCGTATTGCACCAAAGTTTGTAAGTCGAAAGGTGGCTTAACAAAACACACAAATTCCAAACACCGCGAAGCAAATGTCAATGTGCCAACCGAATCGGACAAAGTTACAGAAGTCAATCTTTTTTCATTAGAAAATCTAGCTGGCATTGTCGAGGCAATCAAAGTTCGTTTGATCGCTGAAGACTTGTATGGTCCTGAGATAAATAACGCCGTTAAAAATGCTTCTTGCAACAAAGCTTTTTTTGATGCTGTACTGCCGTTGTATGATAAATTTTGTCGCAAAAGAAACCAAGACAAATTACTTGAAGCATTCTACGGATTGATCCCTAATTCGAGACAATATTTAAATTGTCCAGATTCTAACGCTGCGAATTTAATTTTGATAGAGATACCAGATCATTTAGCTGGATTTTTCAAGGTTTGCCAACATTGTCACTGTGGGAGAACATTGTGCTGGAATCTGGCGTAGAAGAATCAAGCTCCACGCAGAAGTTATGCTTGGAAAACATTGCGAAATTGTATATTCGTATTCGCTCATTTTCCTATGCAAGGGATTATATTAGCAAATATAAAATAAAGGAAAAACAGACGAAAAGTAAATCGTTACGAAAGGACTTAAAACGAAGCAAAAACCATTAAATCACTGTGATTAATGCACCTATCAATGTTAAGCCCCAGAGGGGGGGGGGGTCTGGCATAGGTGGGGCATTTGATTTTTTGAGCAAATTTTCAATCAAATGCCCCACCATAGGGCAATAAATATTGGTCAAATACTACATTAATAAAAGTCATTCGGTTCAAATTGCCTCAACTCGGGGCCAAAATGCTGATCAAAATCCCCAGGGTGGGGATGCAATTGATGATTAAATACCCCACATATGCCCGACCACACACACACCCTTCTGGGGTTTAACATTGATAGGTGCATAAATGATAAACTGTAAATTATGAACCATGTTACAAATTACAATGCCACAGTATTAGAAACACGGTTTTAAAGTTCATCCCCGTGTGATGAGAAGCCATAGTTTAGAAGTTCTATTCTTGGGTTTCATATGACATCATAAATTTGACGGGGGGGGGGGTCAACTCTAAATCGAGACACAGTCATCAGAGTGAATTAATTGTTTACTGTATGTGTTGGCCTTGTGTTTGGTGGCAAATATGTGCAATTTCGTATCATTTGCTCAGTACATTTTAGGTTGACCCCCCATCAGATTCACTGCAAAATGCCATAGTAGAACCCCAATCTCATTCCCCGATCCTTGGAAAGGAACGTGAGGCTCTGGGATAATCCATTTCAGGGAGGAATCTGATTGGCCGTTGATATAGAATGCAGTTTGGTCTTAGCCAGGATTCCTGGCTTCCGGCAACGGATTATCCCAGAGCCTCGCGTTCCTTCCCGAGGATCACAGGCTCGGGGAACAAGATTGAGTATAACCCAAGAATTGCTTTCAAATCAACATGAAGTGTGATCATGTTGAACTTGCATGCAATAAAGTACTACCTCGTATTCCTCACTTGCAACAGCAGCCATGTTCGTGCCACATTCAATAAAAGATTAGATTATCTTGTTGAAATGGCACCAACACAAATGATATTACCATTGCTCATTAATATAAAATTTCATTACTTGAATTAAAGAAAGGATAGTGTCACAGTGTATAATTGTCAAAAATTAGTGTATAATATTTAATTATAAAAAACTGTCACTTGATATTAAAAACCCCTGTAACTGTTATGCTTTCATCAGCACTGTAAGACTAGTTTGTCCACTGTTACATTTATATATAATGTAAACATAATTAATAAAATATACAGTTTCTATTAACTGTGATTATACCTGCCAAAAGTGCAAACATGTATTTAATTTTACAGGCACACAGTCAACATTCAAGCAATGTTATTTATTAACTCCAAAAAATCCAGAACAAATTCAAGTTGGTAATTTGTGATTAGCTGATATGACACTTGAATAACATGGCTCAGACTGTGACTCGGTGTGCCTTTATCAATAAGACTGCTTATACAGCAGACTTGTCAATTGATTGGAATTAGTTTCCAATTGCAAGTTTTAGTATATATTTGACTTATAGTATTTGAGTAATTTTTGTAAAATACTGTGTGCATACCCTGGTTGTCAGAGGTTCTTATAACCTTGGTTCTAGATTATATTTTCTGCCCTATTATTATAATGGTATGATAATAGGGCATAAAATAGAACAAAGACCCTAGCTCTGGCAACCAGGTTATGCACACAGTATTGTATAAAAATTTTGCCTATACTGTTTTGACAGTTACTGCCTGACCTGCCCAAGTTACTTCTTTTGACGCTTTTTTACTGGTTCCTCGCTCACCTGGTGCCATTTTACTTTCTCATAACGTCCACCAACATTACCTCTAATTACTGGAGCAATGTTTCGTTGGGAAGCTATTGTCAGATCATTGTATCCAAACTGCTGGGCAGTTGGATTATCTGTCCTTCTTCCTTTCTCTCTTTGGTGACCAAAGTAATCTTCGAGAATATCTTGCATAAATCTCTCTGCAAGGACATATTTAAATCCCTCAGTGAGCAGAAATTTAATTGCATCAACATGAGAGTTCACAGCAATCTTCAGGCCTTCATACGTTTGGGAAGAGATAAACATTTTCTGTCTGGCATCGGGTGTGTACTCTCCTTTGCGTGTCAGAGTACTCTGTTTCCAGCTTTCCAGGTAGTTGAGGAAAACATCCTTCAACCATGTCAATCGCTCATCTTCAGGGGACTCATATGGCATGATGAATGAATTCTTTTTCCTGATGTGCTCAGTCAGTGACCTCACATTGGTACAGTCAAAGAACCCATTCATCATTTCACAGAACTGGGCGGTACCGGTGACATCCATTTTCCACTTTCTCGCAGAGCAATGGCGACTGACTTGCTAAGGACCTGGACTGCTAATTTAACTTTCATTTTGCTGAAAGAGGTCAACACAATGTGATCTAAGGTCAGCTTAGGGAGGGTGTGCAGAGAAAAATCTTGGTCGCTGTAGAAGAGGTCTGCTATGTGTTGAAATATCAGATACTGCCCATCATTCCACATAAGACGACTGCGACTTCCATACCCAGAATTGTACAGGCAGTTACGGGCTGTCTTCATGAGATGTGGAGAATCAGCAAAAAAGAAAATGAATCGTGATGGTGCGAAAATGTTTGGTGTTTTATACACAACATCACAATTCACTTCATTCGCCAACTTGGAATGAAGTCGAAAAAACTTTCGATTGGGGGAAGCGCCATCATTCACAGCAGCACACACACGAAGATTGAGGGACACCTCCAGCACAGCTACAGTTCTCCAGAAGAGAGGCATTATATGGAATGACGTGACATTTCCTGTGAAGAAATATGCAATTATATGCTTCAAATCAGTGCATAATCCCCTGACAAGAAATGCCAAGGCATGTGTCGCAATCGGATCTTCATCAGTGAGATTGGCAAAGTTAGTCATGGGGTCACCCAAATCGATGAAGCCAATAAGTTCCCCAGACACTTTAACAAAAACAAGATTTGATTGTATCTTCATCTCATCCATAACAACTGCTACATATCTTTGTACAGGAGTGAAAGATGAGGTTCTTTCTCGTAGGGTTTCGACGTTCTCTTTGTTGATGTCAGCTTTCGGTTTAAAATAGTTCTTATAGTCCCGAAGAACTCTCTCACTTGGGAGAATAAGGGCGCCGCTGTCTCGTAGTTCCCTATAAGCGGATGGATATTTCCCATGAATGGAAAGAGCAAAGTGGATTACTTGGGGGTGGTACCTTCTACCCATTTTGGCTGATTGCAACAAATTCATTTGTTCCTGCCAAGAGAACTTCATGTGGGGTGTTGCTTCGAGGCTTTGCCCTCCCATCATTTTGAGAATGTCGTTCTCCAAGCTTTCGCTAATCCCAATCCCTTGCTGCTCGATCTTTGTCTGCATTTGCTGCAAGCGGTCCTCAAGATCTTTCACTTGCAATCTTGTTGATCTTACTGTCGCCCGCAACTTGTCTGGACCACATGCTTGTAAAGAGGCTTTAGATTTAGCTGGGGTTCCAGAGGCTTTGCTCTTCTTTCGTGCAGCTCTCTTTACTGTGTTGGAGGCAGTTGCACAAGGTTGACAAGATTCCTTCGAATGTTTGCTATCAACAACGATATCACATGCAACTGATCGATAAAAGATTGTCACTTCAAAATGAGCCTCTTGGACTTCGATCGTTTTAGGAATGGTATGGCGTACAATTGTGACTGGGTTTGGATCAGGATTTCCAGTTGGATTAGTAGCAGCAGACATAATATCTTCGTCCTCTATCAGTCCCTGGCAAAATCTGGAATTTTCTATCGTTTGCAACAGCTCGTGTACGTCCAAATACTTAATAGAACGTTTATGTTCCTTATAAATTAGATGGTGGTCAGGTAGTGGCCAGCTGAATACAAATGTAGTGAATTCCCGAGATGAATTCACAACAACACTGTAATTAGGAGCACAATGACTCTTGTCGTAAAACTCTATCCGTATCTCACCCTCGTAGGATTTGTCAATTTGCCATGACTCAATTGTCATCTGGTCGAGCTGCCTTGTAAATCCTCCATATCGGCAAATCGTGGCTCCATCTGAGACGATCTTGACGGCTTTTCAACGACAGCAGTGTCAACTTTCCTCACAAGAGATCGGCGTTCTGGTTTACTTGCAGCTTCGTGGTTTTTCTGTGGCAGGTTCTCTGTCGGGATGCTGCCCGTAACCAATGTTTTTCTTTTTCCTAACATGCAAATTAGATTCAGTTTATACGGTAGCAAATAATATATAAATATTCATGAACAATGCGTCCTCTATGTTAAATATTTGACTATATTATTGTATAAACAGCTGTCCCTACCATGAAATATAGCACGAAAATATAGGCCACAAATACTTACTAGTTACGATACATTCTGGTTTAAAATGCAGCTCGCAAACAAAAATATTGTTTGCCTCAATTCTCTGTTTCACTTCTTCCGTCGTTTCCCGTGTTCTGAGGATCAATAGAAGCCATTTTTCGCGCGCTTTTCGCTTCAGTTCCTTCGTATATTCGCCATCAACAGACGTTACTGAAGGGATTCTGAACAACGAAAGCTTGTGCTTTCCGTTACGTGGTACGCTAGCCTAACCATCCCCCTTCTATTAACTGTTCAAATCTGTGAGTTGTATTTGGCTTTTGTCAGTTGATTCAGTTTTATACTGTTTGAAATTTGATCCTCGACCTTGCACTTTGTTCAAAACAATTTTAAGAACATTTTGTCCCAATTATTGGCTGATCAAAGCGATTAACGCGAGCGAACAAAATCGACTTTCGACGTCTTGTTGTCTATTTTGTATACTTGTTGGCTTTCCAAAGTCATTGTTTGATTTAAAATAGCGAAAATTGGGAGTCTTACTGCTTGTTTTCAAACTGTATAATAGAAGATAAGAAGGAGAAAAAGCCAGGGTATATATATACTTGACGTCTAAACACTGACACTTGTGTGTGTAAATATAGCAAAGCCACGGAATTACAAGTGAGCAAGTGACCTCAATGTACCTCAAGACCAAGCCAGTTAAAAGTGACTTTTTCATGTTTATTGGATTTAAAAAGATAACTCCTCTACATGATTGTGTATTTTATAACTATCCCATGTTTTTTCATCCGAAATAATCATTGTTTTATCTTCAAACTCCGAGTTTATCCGCCGTATAGCGAATTAAACGGTCTCAAGTGACCGTATAAGTTTACAATGTGGATAGGTAAAATTTAACCGGTGCACGGATAGCCCTAATCGGGCTTGATACAACGCGATTTTTCGAGCGTTTAAATTTTATCCGGCGGATAGCGAGTTAAACGGTAGTTAGCGAGTTGAAGGCATTTGATACAACCTGCCCCTGGAAGGGAATTTATGATTAATCATAGGAAATTTTAACGGAAAAGCAGCAAGATGTCATTAGTAATGAGGCTCTAATGAGATACTTTTTTGCATGTCTGCTGAACTGTAGCGCGATTCCCACGATCTATATATTCGGCATACTGAGAACATTCTCTCCCTAATTCGTCGACATAACTTGCAGTATAGCTTCCTTAGTGGTGATATATTGCAGTGATAATAGCTTCTACTTGGTAAGATTGCTGTCGCAAAGCAACATTTTCCTTCGTCAGCATCGTTTTTATTGACATGATAAACGATGCCGACAAAGGCGGTCGCTTTGAGTGAACAAATTCGCCTAGTGAAATGGGTTTTGAGCAAATATACCCATTGAACGGTTCTTTGAGAAAATTGAACACCGGTATAGCTATCACTATACGCAATTCTCCGCTGTACTTTGTGAAAAAACCCGTGCAACTATAATGAAACCATGCATCTGCTTGGCACATCTATATACTCCTAATACATGCTGACTGATAAAGTTTTATGATTATAAAATACATTGTAACTTAATTTAATTAAAGCAATAACATAAAATTGTTTTTCTTGCTGTCCGAAATCATATTTTACGCTTTTCTGCAATCTGATTGGCTACGCGAGCGGTCCGTATGAGCCCGTACGGACCGCGGGAGATTTAAAGCCGTAGAGGCAATGTTTTTATTTTTGAAAATTTAAAGACGAGCTTATTTAAGGCTACTTTTTACATTAAAATGTCTGCAGACGATGAAGAACACAGTGAAAGTGAATTTTACTATCCCACAGAAGATAGTACTCTTCTTAGCATTGATAGAAACGACGTTTTAGCGCCCAGAAGAGCAGTGGAGGGCCAAATTTGTCTAACTTCACCCGAAGAGTTGGGTGAAATTCAAAGTTTTATCGAAAGGCAGAGCCCAGATAACACGAAAAAAAAGACGATGTACGACATAAATGTTATTAAAAGGTACTTTGAATCAATATACGAGAGAAGAGAAATTGAAAACATACCTGCTAAAGAATTAAACGTCCAGCTCGCGAAATTTTTCATGAATGTACGCAAGAGAAATGGCAGCGTTTATGAACCTACTTCTCTCAAGGACTTCCAGAGAAGTTTCCAGAGATATTTGAACGACAAGAGCTCTACAACGAATATCCTACAAGACCAGGTGTTTGCCAAACCCGTGAACTTCTTATAGCGAAGAAACAAGAGCTTGTCCAACAACACGCCCATAGGCGTACGGGAAAGGAAAAAATTAGGGGGCAGAAAGAAATTTGGTCGACTTTTTCGGATTGTGCCCGACAAGTTCCGAAAAAAATTTTTTCCGGAACAATTTTTTTGGCGACCTCCCCCCCCCCTACCCAACCCCCTCCCCCCGGTCGCCAAAAAATTTTCGGTCAGTGTACCATTTTAAGGGTCAAAAAATTTTTCGGACATACCCAAATTTTTCGGAACATCAAACAAACTTTCCCAAAAATCGAAAAATTGACATATTTCCCACAAAATTTACAGAATTTGTCCCATTTATTTTTATAATAACCGAATACTGCCCGACTGTGAAGCGAATATTGCCCTTCTGGCTTTGTTTGCCCAACAAACTGTGGTTATTATTAAGGGAGATTTTCTTGTTTTGACTACTTTTTGCCCGACTTTTGCCCGACTTTTGTTGAACATTTGCCCGACTTTTCGACTTTGTAATCTTGTTGGGGG